TAGTTGCGCAAGTTGATGACTTCTGTTTTATGTCCTGCATAGTATCTGTTGTCCAGAAGACAAATCGCAATGGCATGAGAAGGACACAAGCACTGTAGCTATAATAGACTCTGTTATCAGGTCTAATAACTTGGTATTCGGTAATTTGTTGACATTTAGGGAAGCTACGTAAGAGATCATAATCATATAAAATAGTTTTCTGATAACTATATGGGGTGAATATATTCAACAATAGTAATTAGCACAACTTCTTTTTTTTTAAAGACACACTTTTGTTTTGTTTTACCCACATTTAAATGCAGACCAAGCCAACCCGCAAATCTGACAGGATTTAGGACAAATTATAATACTGCCAGTGATACTTGAGCAGTTGTAGCAACCTAAAAATTGTGACAGGAGTAAAAGGTAACCATTGTAAGTATTGTAGAGTTTAAGTAATAAATAACTCCCTGGCCGTCTATGGATAACTACCCAGGAGGGCCAACAGAGAGGTATTAGGGCTTATCACCCCCACAGCGATACTCAAAAAAATTAAACAGAAAAATATAGAGGGGTATTGTGTGAGTAGCCCATTGCTGGAAATAAAACCACACAAATATATCTCTATCTATCTATCTATCTATCTATCTATCTATCTATCTATCTATCTATCTATCTATCTATCGGCTTTATTATGAGGTCACCTTCTTGGAGGTGCTGATGTAGGACTAGTGGTCTGTCTATTTTTAACTGTATACCTTTTTAATGAGATGTATAAATAAAATTTTGTAATTTTATCTATATACTGTATGCGGTAATATTTCCAACAAAAGGTGACACAAAACCCCACTATCTTTTTCTGTTTCTGTATCCTTGATAGTGTGTTATAGTTACAACCAACACCTGTGTATGCATGTGTATGTTGATAAAATAGAATTACAAATATATGAATACAAAATAATACAATAAGCACTATCATTATTTGTATTAACCACATAAAGTTGTGAAAACAAATATTTTGTTTAAAACACTGTGCTTTAAAACCACATTGAGGGTTTTTCATGAAGGAGCCAAAGGATCCAGCAGTAGCTTCGGCTGATCCTTCATCTATTTTTGGCTGCAGGAGCCCTTCTGTTCAGTCGAACCAAAGGGCTGCTATAAGGGCTATTCACAATAGCCTGTACAACAACAACTGGGCGGAGCTGGCCATCCCATCGTGGCTGGCTCCGCCCAGTTGCTGGAAGACTCTGGCAGGTTCCGGCAAAATTTGAACATTGTTTATATTTTGCCGGCATCTGTCAGATTCTTCATTCTAGGGTGAGAGTTTGTTGGGTGTGGTTGGGTCAGCGGGCGTGTTTTGTTTAAATAAATGTTTATTATTTTATTTTGTTAAATCATCGTCATTGTGGACAACGCTGGATGTCGTGATTGACCCTGGATTACATCGGGGATCCATTTTTTTGTGGGTTTTTTTATTAAAGGACTTGTCAAAAATCCTTTGTTTTTTTCAATTAAAGGATTTTTCAAAAGTCTGGCCTCTTTTTAAAAATTTAAATTTAACCCTTTAGTGAATGGTAGGAGTACATCTTACTCATTCAGAAGGGGGGGCCGCATCTGTGTGCCCTTTATTAAAGGGTACCCTGACGTGAATAAGCCCCCTTGCCCGCACCCCCACAACCAATGCCCCAGGGCTTTTGATGAAGAGGCCCTTGTGCCCATCTCTTGACCCTGGAAAAGCACCCTCCCAGTGCCAAGGTATGTGGCCTGGTATGGCACTGGGTGGGGGGCCACTCGCTTGTCCCCCCTTCCCAGTCCTGCCAGGCCTGTGCTTGGATCAAGGCTCTGGTTGGGAATTTTAGGGGGGACCCCACATCTTTTTTCCTCATTTTTGGGATTGGGGTTCCTCCTTAAAATTCCTACCATACCTTAAGAGCCTGGTATGACTTTAGGGAACCCCACACACTTTTTTTTTAATTTTAACTTGGGGTCCCTCCTAAAATTCCTACCAGACCTAAAGGGCCTGGTTTCACTTTTAGGGGGAACCCCACACTTTTTTTTTAAATGAGGTCACTCCTAACTTTTATACCAGATCTAAAGGGTCTGTTATGGTTTAGGAGAGGGAACCCATGCTGTTTTTTCTTTTTTAAAATATATTTAACATTTTTTCATTTGTTGGCATGTTTTTTCTATTCTGCTCGCTAACTCGCAGGTAGCGAGCAGAATAGCCGAGCCGAATGATGCTCGGTGGCATTCGGCTATTCACTCACTGCCTTTCAGCCCCTATAAGAATAGGGGTGAACGGCAGCAACTGAGCTGCCGGAGCTTCATCTCAGCCAATCCAGATGTTCGATCAGCTGGGTTGAAGTCCTTCTGCACATCGGCTCAGCCGAACATGCACAGCATGGTTGGCTGACCAAAGGCAGCCAATGTACAGCTGGTTTTAGCCAATGTACAGCCCAAATCAGCCATACAGGGCTGAAGTGAATAGCCAAACGTTGTTTGGCTCTGTTCACTTTGGCTCAGTTACACAGCTGCCTTTGGCAGCTTTGTGAATAACCCCCATTGTGTTAGTAAGGCCATAACCAGAGATAATGGACAGTTTATTATCCAACAGAATAAACTGTAAATCTGGGATAATGGAAGCAGGATATACTAAAGTAGGAATTCTTTTTTTATGACAAATCAAAAATCAAACGTTATATACTATTGTGAGTAATTTTGTATTTGATAATCTAATCACATATCAGTAAAAACAAGTTGTATATTATACATGGACCAGTAAATAAGAGAATGTCTTTGCTCAGTAAACTTGTACCAAAAAAGCTACACAAGAGATTAAGCTGAGTATACTTGCTACATTGTGTGAGAGCTGAAGTCTCACAATGGTCTCAAAGGAAAGTAAATGTGTTGGTAGACCATTAGGTAGATCACAATCAATAGATAAGTCAAAGTCCAAGACTATGCAGCTTTAATCAGATGATCTAAAACAGATTCAATGATTCATTACTCACAAACTAGTGACTATATGCATGTGAGGTCCATTTCTAATTGTGACAACAACTGTATGGAATGCAAAACATGGTACACACATGATCTACTAGCCCTTGCCTATACCGAGTCCATGCTGGAAATTAGTATGTGTGCTAGGAAGCCATACTTAAAGTGACTGAATGCTTTAAGTAATATATCTCCAAGAAACATCTTATCTTTACACTCAAGTTGGATTCCAGTAGTGTCAGTCAAGCTAAACAGTCATGTTCGATGTCTCTGAATCAAACTTATTGAAATGAGTAAACCAACTTTTAATGGCTTTATATGAGGGAGACTCAGATTATTACTCACATTGGCATGGGGACACTGAAAATAGCATCCAAATGGAATCTTTCAAATTCTATTAAGATGCTAGGCTGTGAAAGCTGGTACTAAAAGACGCTGTAGATAGTCTGCTTAGTGATGTGTAAATATTATTTAAAATGACTATATTGAGTCTCAGACAATCTGTAACATACAGGGAAATGGAATAGAACTTCCCTGAAGATTATAGTATATGCATCAATCAAAGGCAATTAAGATCAGCTAAATAGCAGAGCATACATTGAATTTCACGATTCCTATGTTATAGACAGCACTGGCCTGTTCTTAGTCCCATGTTGGTATTGTGTGTTGTAGAAATAAGGATAATTCTAACTGCTTGTAGCCATAGTGGGTATTTGAGGGTCTGCTGCTGTTGGACTTCTCCAAACACAGGATCAAATGCTGATTAGTCCAACACAACAATAGATAAGAAGTTCTCTCTGTCAGGTGCCACATTGCCCTGCCATTTTTTGCCTTGAATGGCTTTCTCAAAGTGCATGAGTGATATACTAATGGTTATTGCTAGTTTGATCAAATCCACAACATCTCACATTTTATTAGTATTCTATAAAGTTTTAAAATCATTTGTGTAATCAAAAGGTATGTTTTTCTTTAGTATATCCCACCTTCCAGATCTCAGATTTAGAGTTTGGAGTATTGGTTAGTATTGTTTGAGTGGGTTTTTATTTATTCACTTAATAAGCAGTCAGCACCTGCTACAAATAATAGAGTCATGTTGATGAATGTATGATTACTTACACATATTAGATGCCCCACTGCTACATTTATATTACGAGAGTTTAAACATACAGAATATAACCCACATTTGTCATTGTAAACACTGTCAGTTGCAACAAGGAGAATACTACTTGTGATGTGCATTATTGTAAGAATTAAGGGCTTTATTTGCTAGTATAAAAAAACTACAGGTCCACCAAATCTGTGTTTCACTGTTATACAATTTAATAAAATAGTTTTTGTAAACTTTAGGCACACCTCTTGTGAGTTAAGTACAACATTTGCTACTGCCAGGCTCCATCTTAAAATGCTAGTACTTGGCTGTGTGTAACTTTATACCTTTTGAGTTGCAACCAGAATATGTAAGTTGCTAATGACTGGACCCAAAAACAAACTGTAAAATATATTTCAGCTTATCAGATATTACATGAAGTGACTGCATTAGTTTCATTTCTTCAGGCTAAGAATATGTCCAGCAAGTACAGAAAATACCTCTTGAGCTCAACTCAATAAGAGCTTAACAGATAGCAAAACAAGCATATTTTTTTTGTTAAACTACTAGCTCCAACAGCCCTAATGTTAAGGAGATAAACAAAGGTGGACATGTTTTAAATGAATCCTGAATGGCAACCATGGTTCCCTCCACATAAACTGTAAAGGACAAAATGTGGTCACCCAGAGACAGGAAGTTATTTACAGGATTATCAGGTTAAAAAGAAAAACCTGAAAAAAATAAATGTGGCACTACATCTAAGGAGAAGTATCTACATGGGATTAAGATGTAAGTGCAGTTGTGCAGCAAAAATGAAATGTTACTATCTTTAAATTTTGTCTTCAATTATTAACACATTTTTATTATTACTATCCTATTGCAGGTTTTGCATCCCCCTACTGTCTATAGTTTGTAATCTGAATTATATAGGCATTAATCAAGTTGTAAAAACAGGTTTATTTCTTAAAAATAAATACAAAAATATAAATATAAAACATTGGCAAGATACTATATGATGAAATGAACTTCTACTAACATATATCTTCACCAGCTTCATCACACTAACACCACATGTACATATTCTGTACATTGTAATATACATAATGTATCAGAAATGTATCAGAAAAATCATTTCCTGGTTCCCTCTGGAAGAAAATAAAAATAATAAAAAAAGTAGATGCTGCAAATGGAAAGGCAGCCAAATTACCCCAAAAAGCAATGTGTACATGAGTTTGTACGAGGAAGTATTCTTCTGTTCAAGTCTTCAAAGTGATCATTGGATTTGACATACAACATAGCAACCATGGCATTTGATCCATGGCTTATAATTAACATTAGTCATTCTCTAGGGTGATATTCTACATTGAATAAAAACAGATGAAATAAATGAATGTGGTATAAAGTTTTTTTTTTCATTTTTAATGTATTATTGTTATTATTTAACACTGTGCCAAGTGTCAGAAAAAAAGTATTTTAAAATTGTTAATATTATTTCCAAGTGCCCGCAAATTTATTCCATTTAGCTTCAAATAAAAAAGATTGATCATAGTGTGAAAGTTAAGAATCTTTATCACTCTCCCCACTGCCATACATTTCAGCTAGTTTGTTGAAACGTGGACCCCATTCCTTGAGGTATTCATAGTTTTGGTCCCCTTCTGTTGTACTAGACTCTAAAGAACTTAAAGATTCAGCTATAGAATCATTTCCTTCATATGCATATGTTGCAAGTGAATCATATGGTGGTGCAATAGGATCATTGTCATGCTCTTTTAGCCTTTGGTTAATGAAATCACGAACATCTGTATTGTCTGGCACAGAAGCAGTTCTCCTAGGTAACAAGAGATTTTCAGGTACAATATCTCTACGGTGTTTCTTATCCTCAATGGCTCCAGGATTTCTGAGTGTACCGATATCAAAGGCTTGTGTATCTTCTTCTCCGCCTCCTTCATCATTGTAGCTTACAATGTTGTCTCTAATGTCCTCTTTAGACAGGACTAATGGTTCTTTCTTTCTTTGTTTTTTCAGGGCAGCAAACAACACTACAATAACTGAAAAGAAGAAAAAATATGTCAATAGAGCACAAATAAAATATAACATTCTAAATTCACTAGCAATACAAAGGTAAATAAAATAGGTGTATTGCTACTAATAAATTCTTCTTACTAGAAGTAGTAGAAGTAATAGTAGCAGCATTAGTGGTGGTGGTAGTACTAGTAGTGGTAGTAGTATCAGCAGTAGTAGTGATGTGTGTAGCCCACAAAATGGAATGAAAATGGAAAATTGTTGTCAAATTCTTACATGAATTTATCTTTCCTCACTTACCATCATGGCAGCATACACATGAGTAAGGCTCTGACCCCAAACTCCCATAAGACCCCTTACCATTACATTGAAGTCCCGCCCAGCTTGCCCTGTCCTTGTGCCTATATCTTCTGGGGTGGGAAATATGCTGCCATGGAGATAACTCAGGAAATAAACAAATAGTAAGTATTTTATAACAATTTTCCATTTCCTGATTATCTCATGGCAGCATACACATGGGAAAAAACTAGCCAAACAAAACTGAGTGGGTTTCCAGAAATAAATATTTACTTCATGTGCTTTACAGTTACAAGCACAAGATAAACACGTTCCAAGGTGACCATTTTGCCACTGTACAGATAGTCTCCAGGGAATCATTTGTAGAATATCCCCAGTGGTGAAGCTACTTCTAAATTGTGCTGTCACCTTAGATAGCACCAAGTCTTTATCCCTGTATGCCATTTGATTCTACTTCTCTGAAGAAATAAAGTTAATAGAGTACATTACTGACTACATTATATCTCTGTAACTTTGAATGTAGGCAAAACCAACTCATGGTTCAAATGAAAATCTGAAGACACCTTTGGAAAAAACACAATTATTAGAACAATCTGTTAGGAAAGAATGTCATAAATGATTTGTTCTATCCCAAGGATTTATTTCTGAGATCTGTCTTCTGAAAATCTCTTCATCTCAGTACCCAGAACACGGATGCATGTCTCCTCCTTCCCAAAGCCTGCATGCAGCCATGGAAAGATCTGAACATGCCCATACAGCCCTGATGACACCAACCGGTACAACCCTGGTGAAATGCCACACACAGCCCTGGTGAGACCCTACACACAGATTTGGTGACACCCTGTACGCAGCCCTGGTGAGACCTAAAGGCAGCTCTGGTGAGATGCCACACACAGCCCTGGTGAGATGCCACACACAGCCCTGGTGAGACCCAAAGGCAGCCTCAGTGAGACCCAAATGTAGCCATGGTGAGACCAATATGCAGCCCTGGTTAAACCCCCAAGCAGGTCTGGTGAGACCCAAAATAAGCCCTGGTGAGACCCACACACAGCCCCAGTGAGACCTAAATGTAGCCATGGTGAGACCAAAACGCAGCCCTGGTGAGATGCAACAGGCAGCCCTGGTGAGTCCGCACAGCCCCGACAAGACTACACGCAGCCCTGGTGAGACCCACATGAAGCCCTGGTGAGACCGCACACAGCCCTGGTAAGACTGCACCACCGTGGTGTGACCCGCACAGCCCTGGTGAGACTGCACAGCCCTGGTGAGACACTGAACATCCTCCTGAGAACTTGCACAGCCCTGGTGAGACTGCACACAGACCCCAAACATCCTTCAGACAAACTACACAGCCCTGGTGAGACCCTGCACAGCCCTAGTGAGACCCTGCACAGCCTTGGTAAGACTGCACACAGCCCTGGTGAGACCCCAAACATTCTCCTAAGACCACATACAGCCCTAGTGAGACTGCAGACAGCCCTGATTAGACCCTGCTCAGCCCTGGTCCAACTCCACACAGCCTCCTAAGACCCTAGTAGGCCATTACAACCCTTTGTCAGACCCCACATAACCCTGGTCAGACCCCACCCAGCCTCATGAGATGCCGCACAGTCCTGGTGAGCAATGGAGTATGTAGCTTCATATTATGCATTGCTGTATAATGTATTTCTGGGATTTGTAGTCCTCTATTGCTATTGGTATTTGGAATTGTTGTGTGTTTGATAGCTGGTATTTGTAGTCCTCTATAGTTGGTGGCATTCTGCATTGCTGTATAATGCATTGCTGGGATCTGTAGTACTCTATAGTTGATAGTATTATGCATTGCTTTATAATGTATTGCTGAGATTTGTAGTCCCTTTACAGTTTAGAGTCAGTGGCAGCACTACTAGGGTCACAGCGGTTGGTGCTCCACCACTATCCTAAAATCATTAATCTGCATTGTTTTAGAAAAAATGTCAGATGACACTAAAGAAAGGTAACGGTAATTGGTATTGGCGAGTATTTGAGGAACTCGGTATTCATACTAGGTCTGGAAAAATGCTATTGGTGCATCCCTACTCATGAGGTCTGGATGTAAAGGTATTAACACTGGATTTGATGATGGAGGTTCAATAGGAGTGAAAACCAAGGCCTTTTCTTCCAGAATGGGATCACAGCCAATTTTAACTATTTCTCCTGGCACACTCTATCTCTGAAAATAAATTTCACAATCAATGGCACTGATGGGAAGGCATTTCTTGTTCTGAATCTCAATTAAGCCATTAGCACATTGCTCCCCTTCACCTGGGGGCAAGGGTATCTGGAATAGGACTTGATCAACTTGGCATTGCATAGATAAGAGAACACCTCCACCTCTGGACAGAAGTTTGGACTATCCACTGAGAGACTTTTGGGTCTATCATTCGCCTGGTCCCCCAGAATTTACACTTCTGTTAAGTTCTGTAGCAACTTAATTATTGGTTCTACCTCTCATAGCATGATGTATTTGTTCCCTTTTGCTTCTTGATGCAGCCTACCTGTTGTCCAACCTGAGTTAAACTAACTGACCTAGAATAAGATGTTTGAAAGCTCTCAAGGTGCAGAATGCTGCTCTTTTTTCAAGCACATTTGAAAACCACATTATTTGCTCTTAAGAGCCAGAGACTATAAGCTGTCTTGCCCTGACAGTGCATTCCCCATATCATACCACAGGTGTCTGCCATAACTGTGATCAAAAAGGGAGGGGGCAGGGAGTGGCAATGAAACAGGTTTTCTTTGAGTGTCCACCACCAAAAGCATTGTTTCATGTCCTGGTTGATTCAGATTATCTGGTGCAAATCCAATGATGTCCACTGAGACAAGAACTGATAATGGAATAGACACAGATAGTGTCAGTCATTGCTGTTAATGTCCCTAGTATGTCGAGACATTGAGGCTGATTTACTAAAGTTAATAGGCTATTCACTTTGCATAGAATTTGTACTTTGCAGGGGAGGTTTCTCTTAGCTTGGTGAATGTGGTAAATTTCCACTTTGCCAAGAATACCCAATCATGTGCAAGGAAACTATACAAAACAGTATTTGTGCTTGCAAACGATTGGATGATGGAAGTCACCAGAGCTTCACCACATTCACCAAGCTACAGGGAAACTTCCCATGCAAAATGCAAATTCCTTTACAAAGTAAACAGCCAATTTACCTTTAGTAAATCAACACCTAAATGTTTGACTGGTAATATGACATGTCTGGCTAATCAAATCAACACAGCATCCACAAGCAGAAGGTGTGTCCATAATGTTTGCTTGTTTCTAGAGGATGTACTGTAGCTCAGTAGCTCTATTGTGCCTGGGCATCTTTATGTCTGTCTTAGCCCATTCCTTCATGATCAGTTCCCTAATGTCCTGTATTAAATGAAAAACAGTTATCTCCTTTTTAAAGTGTTTGTAATAGCTGCACTGTTTATGAGGCACTTTCTCTTCTTACATAGTAGTACATAGTTACATAGTATTTGCGGTTGAATATAGACACAGGTCCATCAAGTTCAACCTTTGTGTGTCTGTGTGTGATTGTGCATGTGTATGTCTGTACCAGGGTCCCTGTGTGATCTAGTTTTTAAGAGTACCCATACCTGTATGTTATGATCTCTGAGGAAGGTATCTAAATGCATTTTCAATGATTCAATACTCTCAGCTGATACCACTGCTTGTGGCAGCGAGTTCCAGACATTAGCTGCTCTAACTGAATAAAAGACCCTACGCCCCTTGTGGTTAGTCTTTTCTCCACCAGTTTTAGGCGTTGAACTCTTGTCTTTGTTTTTCAATGGGAAAATTCTCAATGCTTTTCAATGGGAAAATTATTTTTTGTTTTTTTATTCTGACCCCTCGTTTCAGAATAAAGAAAAAAAGACACATGAGTGCTTCTCTCCTTGACGGCCGGGAGTGGGAGTTTTTTTTTTCGTTTTTTTTACAGCAGCAGAGCCGCCGGACAATAGGAAACTATTGGGTGGAGCTAGCTGTCACTGCTAGCTCCGCACAATCGTTTTCTATTTACTTGTTTTCACTTTTTTCACTATTTTTCTGTTCTGCTCGGTCCCTCTGAGGGACCGAGCAGAACAGCCGAGCTGAATGCCGCTCTGCGGCATTCGGCTATTCACTCACTGCTGTTCGGCATCTTTAAGAATAGCCCGAACAGCAGTGAGAAGCCTGCCGGAGGCTCGGCTCAGCCGATCCAGATGTTGGATCGGCTGAGTCGAACTCCTTCTGCACTTTGGGTCGGCCGAACATGCTGAGCATGTTCGGCCGACCCGATGCCACGCGAAGCAAGCCGATGTACAGCTGATTTCAGCCGTACCAGTCTGAAGTGAATAGCTGAACAGTGTTCGGCTCACTTCACTTCAGATCGGTCATTCACACAGCTGCCCTCGGCAGCTTAGTGAATAGACCCCTAAGAAGTCCTTTATTATTCCCTCTAACAGTTTGCATACCATTGATGTTATATTGACTGGTCAGTAGTTTCCAGGTTGGCATCTTGAACTGTTTTTGAATATTGGTACTACCATAGCTTTCCGCCAGTCACTTGGTACCCTACCAGTCATTATGGAGTTCTTGAAAATGAGGAATAATGCTCTCACTATAACCTGGCTGAGTTCTTCTGCACTTACGTAAGGCTGTATTTAAAGCAAACTCAAAGACCCCCACACCCTCTCTTTCATCTTCTCAGGTATGGAGTCATCAGAAGCAGACTTCTTGTCTGGTTTTGACCAGATGATGCTGTCTGATTCTGCCCTGAAGACACTATCTGAGGAGGCAGTAGGCATGGTGAACCACTTGTGGACTGCATGGTGAAATCCTTTAACAAATCTTTCATTGCTTGTTTCACTGTTATTCGCCTCTTTCTCTTTTGCTGCTTCTGAAAAGCAATTCTCAGAGTCACATTCCAGGAATGGCCCTGTTTAAACTTGTCCAACAACCATCCCTCAGATATGGCCAATATTGATGGGAGAAATGTGGACAAATGCTGGACAAAATCTGGACAAATGCTGTCTGGAACAGGACCTTGAATGCATCTGCTGTTTGTGGTGCTCCCTTCTCCCAGGTGATCTTGCTCTGCATATTTCACTCCTCTGCCTTAATTCCCTATGTTTGAGCAGGGCCAAGCAGACAATGCACAGACTTCACATCTTCAACCTGCAAAACATACCAATGTTGCCCCCTTACCTAGTTTTATAAGGCTAAAGCCTCTACGATGACAGTGCCATAGTGCTCTTAGCTGGTCAGTCCTGAAATTTACAGACATCAATGATATTTTGTGAAATTGTGCACCATTTATAATCCAAGCTTTTCATCTGGAAGCACTTAGCATCCACAAAGGAGGCCCCCAAAGATAACAGTGCCTATGTAGTTATAAAACTAGCATCCCCTGTATGCAAAAAGCCAATTAAATAGGCTGATCACAATCACATGAATCTGACTCAACTTCTCATGCTCCAAACTAAAAGGATGGGCATCTGCCAACACCAAATATGGTGCTACTGCACATGCTCTAAACTTATAGAATAGGCAGCTGCCCAAATATGGCTGCTACCTGAACGGGATCCTAATGTCTAAGGTTAATATAATGCCAGACACCACTACTAGGTTTAATGTGCTGCTAGGTGCAATTCATAATTTGCTATGCATAGAAGCTATTTGCTGACATGCCTGACCCACTACGGGTACATTCATATTCATTACCATCATTTAAAACTGGTCATTTAAATATGTTCTTTTTTAGGGAATTATTTACATAATGTGTCCATTAGCTGCCCATGTAGTACATGTAGTACAAATGGGCTGAACAGTGTTCCCTAGGGTGTAAGGGGTTTTCCAAAGTGCGCATTGGCCCTTCAGAGAATAATAACAGAGAATAATAATAATTACATTAAATTATTATTTTTCAACTGCATTGCATAGGTAAGGGGGTTTCTACTTACCTATGTATATGCTGCCATGAGATAGACAGGGAAAAAAGTTTTGGATGGAGGGCTACTTTAAAATTATTCAGAAAAAGAGGCTAGTATGAAAATATGTTTGGTGAAGGATCATGGGTTATGTTAATAGTGAAAAACTATATGTGAAAAGGTTTGCTTGCATGCAATACACTTATCTGTCATGAACATGTTCAGAAAATTACTCACTGAGACAAATACCGCGTAAACATAAAAAAGACCTTTAACAAAACCGTCACTTTTCCATCAAATCTGACTCACTTTATTCCTATTACTGACTTTGGCATTATAAATACCATATTTTTTAAATTATGTTGAATTAAAAATACATAAATGCAAAGGGCTAATTCTTTAGAATTCTAGTTTCATTCTTTACCCTTCTGCGCCCTTAGATAAGCAAACTTATAATTGTAAAGCTGAATGGATATTGCTGATTCTTTTTAAGTTAAATATCTAGTTATTCTCAAGTAGTATGTTTGCCTGACAAGATATTGAATGTATGATAATCACCCATATCATTAAATTATTCTTTGATCATTTACTATACCTTATTTTAAAGCAGTAAACATAAAGAACATCTGATATGAAGATTAGATATGCAAAAGGCACTCTTATACAACATAAAAGCCATAATGTTAAATCATAACAAACCACTATAATTGAAATTGATTTTAGAACTAAATAAATACATTAGTAAATATTACCTTCATTGCAAACTGTATTTACAGCCCACCTAAGGGTAACATTTTATACACCCCCCTTCTCTCTCCCCTCCCACCCATTCACAGCCTGACTTTTTAGAGAAAGCCTTAAAACCTACTTTTCCCACTATCTATTTTCCTCTTTGGCGCTGCTTTTAAAGTGTGGAGACTGGTTATCCAGAGATTTTTGGCTGCACTGGCCAGTCTACTCGTGGGGATGAACCACGTTGCTGCATCTTCTCAAGTTTGAGAGGACTCTACCACTGGACAGTCAATAGGGGGTGTCCACATCATCTAGACAGTAGAGAAGGAACTAGGGGCATCACGTGATGACAGATTTAAATTGGTAAAATTGACAATTTGGCTATTTATTTTATTAAAAATGAACTAATTGCGGTTTAAGGTGTAGGGAGTTTAGTGTTGCCGGAAGCTGTCATCACAATAATATATTAGAGACATATAAAAGCTGCCATTGATAGTCATTTGGCTGTCATGCTGGCTCTTTTGCTTTAATACATCTTTAATAGTAATCTGGAATGAGCATACAGAAAATGAAGTCAAGGTAAAGTCCAAATAAGCAGGCTGTCGGCCGGCCAATGGCAGGCCGCTCGGCCAGCTTCGGCTTTCAGCACGGCTCGGCGCTCGACTGAGCTGCTTGGCCGTGATCGGGAGCTGTACGGGCTATTGTGAATAGCCCGTACAGCACCCCCTCGGTTCTCCTGATTAGATTTGTGTAGCCTCCTTGGTTAGATTTGTGTAGCCTCTCCCAAATGTGTTCTCTAGGTATTTATTTTTATGAGGAATCTATCTCATACATAGTGGTATATGCATCATTGGTAAATATAATAGGAGTACTGTGAGCATAAATCCAGGTATGTAAGCATGTGTTTATGTTACTTTTATGAATAAAGCTGTTTTTATCATTCTTATTCCTCTTAAATGATGAAGGGTTTAATTGCCGTTTGTTCATATTGGTTGATTTTAATGTCCAACTTCCAAATACACTTGTTTATTCATTGTTCATTATAGAACAGAAATTGTTAGATAATAGATAATATGTACTTTAGTAATATATCATTAATAAGGTAAATGCAATACACTTCATAGTAGCAAAAAGATACTTACGCAGAAGTATAATGATGCAAAGCAGAATTGCGATTAAAGCTCCTGTACTCAGGCCAGCAGGTAAAAGTAAAGCCTCAGCACTGCAGGACTGCATGTTTCCGTTGCTGTCACATGTGCATACTTTTATAGTTAATGTCCCAGTGCTGCTTTGGATTGGGTAGTCATTGTCAGATATGACCACTGGTAGAAGATATGTGTTTAGTTCATGCCTGTTAAAACCATTCCTCCTTGTTAAGATGCGAGCTGTGTTATCTGCATAAATAAAGAAAAAGAATAATGCAAAAATACATACATGCAATGCTAGTTAAACTTTAAATACAAATAAAGTTAATTTCATTTTTTATTGTATACGTGTTGCATAGGATGGTAATTGTTAGTTCAATGCTGTAACGGGACAGACAGTGGGGTATTTCTCCAAAAACAGACACAAACTTTTTAGTAGAGTAGGGGGAAGGCTAAAGCCAATATCAGGTCTTTATTTCTGTGTTGTAGTGTTTTACTGGGGCAGGAAGTGTATGTGAACCCTAATTGGGCCACACACAGTAAAAACCTTACATTTATTTAACTACTAAATAAATGTAGCTGCACAAAAAGTTGTATCTGCAGTCTACTTGGTCTGAGACAAATTTGGTAATCTATAATGATAATTTTATGGGGTGCTGAAACAGTTATGGGTGTCTGATGCTTTTGCTGGGGGCAGCTATAATGAAATACTCAGCTTAACTAGATCAACTTAAATACAATACAATGATGTGGCATTTTTTGACCAATTATTTCACCTTGGATGTAGTATAGTATAGACTTTATTAGAAATCTGCACTGGCAAAAAAATGTTTTGTTTAATTTAATTTCTATTTGTAAAGTAAATAATTTAGGGGGTTATTCACTAAAGAGGGATCCAGTCGTAACTTCGGCTGATACTTCAGCTCACTGGCTGCATCTGCCCTTCAGTTCAGTTGAACTGAAGGGTTGGTGTACAGGCTATTCACAATAGCACGTACAGCAGCCGAAGGCATTCAGCTATTCACTTACTGCCACTCGGCCCCTATGAGAATAGGGACGAACGGCAGCGAGTTATCTGCTGGAGTTGCGGCTCAGCCGATCCAGATGTTGGATACGCTGAGTTGAAGTCCTTCTGCACTTTGGCAGCTAAGTGCATAACCCCCTTAGTTTTGTCATATTCATTACATTAGAATGATTTATTTTACAGAATGATTTGTTATTTCAGCAAAATTAGTTATTCGTTAAGCCAAATCAATTTCGGATGGTCGGTTGTTCATTATAACATACAATTTGTTATTTCGAAAGACTGGCTATATATCAACCTTTAACAGAAGGGCCAATCTATAGCATCATGATATCCAAATAAAATTAATTAATCCAAATGAATTCATTGTTTTCATTATAATTTCTTTTGGATTAGTTAAAATTTGTTAGTAATGTTATTCAGAGATTTGGATACATCTGAATCTCCGAATACCGGAACTTCGTACAAATGCAATTTTAGCCCATACACAAAGCACACATTTTCCTCACTCAGTATAAAAATGATGAGTACATTGCCAAAGTCACTATACCTTCATTATCCTGGACTGTGAAGTTTGGGTTAACAGCTGCTAAGCTGTAAAAGAATTTTTGCCCACCAGGAGGCTCATCTTTGTCCACTGCACTTATTGTTTGTATTAACTGTAAGGAAAAAAGGAAAACATAGAAGTCTTGCAAAAATAAAACCACATGCAGTAATGATTCTAAAGCCTATTTCCACCTTTGCAGAGGTATTTAAGAAAAAACATATGCCAGCAATGTACACCGAGTTACCTGAAGCAGGCATATGCAGTTGCTGTATATGAACACAGAAATGTATGTTTCCTCTTCATATCCTCATAGAAATGGCTGCCTCTGTGTTTTGCAAGCAATCTGTGTATATTACAACTGAGCTCTTCACCCTTCAGGCATTAGAATTCATAGTGGCATCCCCCACCCAGTGTATTGTGTGCAAATATACATGTACATACCTACATTCATACATTCATGGGGGGGAAAGGAAGTCCAAATGTAATTAATGAATCCCCCATATGTGCGGTGCGTGAGTATTTCTATTTATTCCTCTATCTCTTAGATTTGAATTCCTTATACTATATTCTTCATATTTTCTTACCCCACCACCAATAATATGTGAGTGTATTCCCTATTTCTATGTGTACCCCTTGAAATATACATGTCAACCTGTGGGTAGTAAAGTGTGAATCCCCCTCCTATAATAATAGTTCCATTTAATCTTCCTTGTTGTGTACTCACCCAACTGTGGATTAAATATAATTAGTGCCCACTAGTAAAAATATGTATACAGTTGTCTGTGCATAGTTATAAGGAAAATAAAAAATGGCCACAAAATGGCATTTTAAAAATATGGCAAAGGATTTCCAAAGCATATCTCTGGAGTATCCACACCTCTGATGAAACTGTAATCCAGAAACATTTCTATACACATGAACAGGTGAAGGAGACCTTTAATTTGCCTGATTGTCATTTATTTATTCATGCTTGTTTATTTTTGTGCCTGCTGGAGATTAGAGAAATCCAGAAAAAGACAAAAGATTTATTGATAAACATGAAGTAGCTTTTCACCTGTCCTCTTTTTTTTAGGCGCACTGTATAGAACAACATATTTTTGTCCTGCAGAAGAAAATAATTTCCTACTTAGTTTGTAGTAAAGAATATGCCTCTATTCTCAAAGGAAGCCTGTCTACCTGCTGTGAACTAGAATTAGTAAAGCAGGGAATTAAGCTGGCCATACACCAGTAGATTTTTGAACAAACTAAATTGATTTCAGATCGTTCATTCAACTTTCTAATCGTTGATAGAGTCAGATTGATGATCTATTTCAATTGCAGTGGCGAAAAAATTTGAAGGAGCATGTTGGAAAATGTTTTGTGATTGAACAAAATTCTAACAGTGAATGTGGTTTTCGTTCAGGAAAATCCCTTAATTCCAAAATCGAATGTTGAAGGAGAATGTTGGCCAAAAATCTACCAGTGTATGATTAGCTTTAGGAAACAGTACTCTCTACTTAATCCTGACTTCAGTTTTATATGAAAGAATAACTAATTTGTAGGGTCTACTGGACATGGTGCATAGAAGTACATGTACAGTAATTTTTGCATACTGGCAGAAAATAATTTTTTTTAAATTTCTTAAAAAATGAATGTTTGGATTTAATGTGATACAATTTATTGGCTAACTAAATAGATTGTAGTGCAAGCTTTGAAATGATGCTAGCTTCTTCTTTAGGCAATATGAAATGATAGTAAAAAAAATGCATAAATGTAAAATTTTATAAATGGAACAACAAAGATACATATGTTATCAACTTGACACACATGAATGGCATTGGGTGCTAAAACAATTAGGATACAAAGATATGGATCAATGTATCTGTTGGATAGAGGAACCATCCTATCACACTTAATGCCTCAAGCAGGAAGTGGGGATGGGTGTGAGTCTTTGAAAAGTCCCTTTGAAGTGGAGATGTGGCTGGGATGATGGTTGAAAGAAAATCATAAATTAGAAAAACTAAATATTTGTTTCTGTTTAGGCAATTTTCCAGCATCCTGCATTTTCTTTTTGTTATTTAACATTTTCTTCAGCACCATAACACAAGGGCCATTTAATTTGTGGTTTCTCCTGTAGAAGTGAGATTCTACAGGAACATCAGTTTTGTTGTTATTTATAATGAATTTGTGTAATGCTTTCAGAATGGGCATTTACTGTAGAGGGTGGTTTTGCAACTGTAAAAAAAGAATCCATCTTTCTCCAGACACAGTTGACTGAATTAAAAAATAAACCAGTTCTGGATCCGCATAAATCCTTGTAGCAGATGTTAATGACCAAATATCTCCTTGCACCCTTGCTAGCCTGCCACCATTACCATCTCATGCCACCATGAATAGCTTTTTTTGTTACTGCTGCTGGCCTCATACTATAACCATCCCCTACCCCTGCTGTATGTCTGTCACCATCTCATGCTTTCTTTACAACTATACTATAGTGCTCTGGCACTGTCAACATGTCACACCTACAGGGTTATTTTCAAAAGGGGGTAAAAGGTTTTGAGAAGGCAGGAGAAGTGAACAATCTAGGACAACATCGCTGAACTGGAAAGTGACGTGAATAGGAGACTATTTCCAAATTAGCTATTTTGGCCTAGATTGTTCACCCCTCCTCTAAACTCTTTACCCATTTGTGAATAACCCTGATAATGTTTATGCTCCTCAGCTGCTAAATTTGTGGAGTATTTTTCTGCAGGGATAATCCTGCATTGCATTTCTGTGTTTGTAGTGTATTTTGGTGCTTTGGCACTGTCATTGTAGAACAACTAATGTTTCAGTAGCTGCTCCTCGTTTGTAAAATGTGGACATTTTTTTCTGCAGGGTTAACCCTTCATTGCACTTTAATGTTTCTGATGGATGCCAGCACTTCAGCATTATCTTTGCACAACACTTAGGTGGTTATTCACAAAGCTGCTGAAGGCAGCAGAGTGAGTAACCCTGCCAAAATGAAGTGAGTTGAACGCAGTTCGGCTTTTCACTTCAGCACTGTACGGCTGAAATCAGCTGTGAATCAGCTGAGCGAAGTGCAGAAGGAGTTCAACTCAGCTGTTCCAATAGCTGGATTGGGTGAATGGGAGCTCCGGCAGCTCACTCGCTGACGTTCGTCCCTATTCTCATGGGGGCCAAACAGCAGTCAGTGAATAGCCGAATGCCTCAGAGCGGCATTCGGCTCAGCTATTCTGCTTGTTACCTCCGTAAACTATATCACCCTGAAAAAAATGAAACCTGAAACACTAAAAGAGTTATTCACAAAGCTGCTGAAGGCAGCCGAGTGAATAACCGAGCCGAAGTAAAGTGAGCTAAATGGAATTTGGCTATACTCTTCAGCCTTGTACAGCTGATTTCAGCTGTACATTGGCTAAAGTCAGCCTTAGATTGGCTAACTTCGGTCAGCCAAACATGCTCTGCATGTTCGGCTGAGCCGAAGTGCAGAAGGAGTTTGACTCGGCCGATCCAACATCTGGATTGGCTGAGCAGCTCACTCGCTGCTATTCTCATAGGGGCCGAACGGCATTGAGTGAATAGCCGAATGCCTCCGAGCGGCATTTGTTTCAGCTATTCTGTTAGAGGTAGCGAGCAGAATAGAAAAAAAAATAAACAAAAGTAAAAATTATTTAAATAAATGTAAAAAAGGAAATTTTTTTTAATAAAAATAATAAAAATCACAAGCCTGAATTAAAACAATTTTGCCTTATTTAGTAAAATGCTAAATGTATAGAAAATAAAGTAAGAGTGCTGCTCCCCGGTATTGTATTCAGCAAGTAAAATTGAGCTTAGAAATGTTTGCGTCCAGAACCACCAAAATACAGGTGAAACTCGAATAATTAGAATATTGTGCAAAGTTCATTTATTTCACTAATGCAACTTAAAAGGTGAAACTAATATATGAGATAGACTCATTACATGCAAAGCAAGATAGTTCAAGCCGTGATTTGTCATAATTGTGATGATTATGGCTTACAGCTCATGAAAACCCCAAGAACCCCAAATCCACAACCTCAAAAAAGTAGATTATTACATGCAATCAATAAAACAAAGATTGTACATAGAACAATATCGGACCTCTGAAAAGTACAAGCATGCATATGTACTCAGTAGTTGGTTTGGGCCTCTTTTGCAGCACTTACTGCAATTACTTTTGCACGATATTCTAATTATTCGAGTTTCACCTGTATATTATACTGCAGAGTGATTCAATCTCCTATTATCTATCAAAAATTGAAATATCTGCTGTGGGTGGTCTGGCAATTTTTATTATTATACATTATTTAGTGATGCAAAATGAACAGTTTGACATCAATTTTTTATTATTTGCTTCTGCTTTCATTCTCTGCTTCATATTTCATTGCCAGGTGCATTGGACCTGCAACTGATCTCCTTCTTACCTGCAGTTGACCTGCTTTAATTGGGGTTTTCCATTCCTATCGACTTAAATAGGATGCAAAACCTGACGTAACAAAATGCCTAGAATAGTAATTGGTATGGCATCTGCAAATGTTTGTAACTAAATTGCTACTTTGACATTTTATATTAAATTTCATGAAAGGTTTCCATGCAAATTTCTTTTGCATATGCGCAAAAGCTTGCAAGTGACAAGCAGTCTGCTTAGTATGAAGACTGTTGAAAATGAACTCTGCATCTTGCTGTCAAATGTAGTGCCAGTAACACATGCAAAAACATCAGGTGCATCTGCTCTATCCACAGACGTTACAGAATGAAAGACATAGCCTTCTGTCACTTCCACTACCCTTTCAAAAAAATCAATACCTGTGATTCCTTTCTCAATTTCTTCTGCTATAATCTGGCCTTACACAACTGCCCTAGCAGAAATGTCACTGGCAGAAAGCCGAGGAGTGATGTGTTTGCAAAGCATGTTATTCATCCTTATTCAAATCTCACAATCTGACAGGGAGGTTGCTTATTGGTGGCAATTTGCTGTCTAATGTGTATGTGTATATATATATATATATATATA